TACGGCGACTCCCAGCGCAATGATTGTTGCATACTTCTCGGGATGTCTTTGCCGTTCTGGCTAATCGCGGCCAGTCAGTTGCTTATCTGCCATCATGTACTAAATTCCGTTTGACTGTTTTAATAAAAAACTACTTCCGGCCTAAATAATGCCGGCATAGTCCAAACTTGAGTAGTGTAAAGCGATACTTTTCGATGATTTAATACGTAATTTTTTCCCAGGATTAAACTCGTCTCAAATATTTGCTTAACAGGTTTTGCCTTTGCAGCACTCATATATGGTTACCCTGTAAAAAATTTTATCCGAATATATCCTTATTTTTTGTGAAAATTCCGTGAATCTGCAACATGACTGTCCAAAATCTAGACAATCCGAATAATCTCCACGAATATGCAACATTTATGGAAAAAACATGATATAAAACACGGTTTGACTTAGGGTTATGCAATGTAATGATTGTACACAAGTGTGACTAGATCATATTAATATCTTTACATAAAAAAATAAGCAAAGAACAATATGTATGTAATAACATATTATTGAAAATCTCTAATGAGCTAGTTAACCTTATTCTATATAAAACACGGATCGACTTAGGGTTATGCAATGTAATGATTGTACACAAGTGTGACTAGATCATATTAATATCTTTGCATAAAAAAATAAGCAAAGAACAATATGTATGTAATAACATATTATTGAAAATCTCTAATGAGCTAGTTAACCTTATTCTATATAAAATTATTGAGATTTTAGATTTCTGCACTGTAAGATAAATTTGATTTATCGTATTGCTTCTGCAGTGTATATTACCTGCAAATAAATTTTATAATTTGATATTTTAACTTCACTAAATTATAAAAATTTCATTCTGTAATTTTGCTTTAAATAATTAATTATGAGTTGGTCTTATAGTAAAATCTCTTTTGATTGGAAGGCTTCAACTGCTATGGCACCAAATGGCGAAAATATTGTAGTCTTCGCATATCATGTTTGGGAAGTTAATTCGGATGGTATATATAACCAAGTGGGATCTGACTGGCCAAATACTGTTGCAGCTACTACTAATGGCAACTTCATTTACGCTATTCGTCCTGACGGATTCATTTATAAGCTTAGAACCTCGAATTATACTGTTTCCAAGTGGATTGACGCTGGTGGTGGATGGGAAAAAGCAAAAGCAATTTTTTCTTACAATGATCTCATTTACGTGATCCTTGACGCTATCTGGGAAATCCGTCTTGATGGCACTTATAAAAAAGTCCAAAGTGAAAACTGGAGTAATACTCGATCTATCACAGTAATCGGTGATTATGCATATTTAGTTCTTGAAAATGGTAATATTTATAAACTTGATTTGAGAAATTGGACCTACCGAGTTCTCAGCAGCGGTTGGTCAAATACGTTCCTATTACTTACATTAGATAATAAATTATTTGTCTACGATATATCTCTTACAATGGTTGATACAGATACTGGTGAAACAACTATTGTATATAGTGATAATTGGAATAAGATATTGGCTGGTTGTGCTACCTCTAGTACAATGTATGCTGTTTTTGATAGTGGAAATCTTTGGAAAGTTACGAAATCTTAATATTGAGAGACCTCCCTAAATGCACCCTCTATATAAAATCTCTTAAGTGCACTATATACTCTGGTCCCAAATTTAAATAGCTCCATATATTTTATTTTCATAAATGTCCACACTCTTTAAGTACCCATTTTTGAAAATCTTTATTGTAGTCCCGAGGAGGCGCACTTTTTTTCTCTATAATTATATTTATATAAATAAGTGGATGTAGTTAACTCAAAAAAAAATCTTAAAATACAATCTTTTTATAACTTCTCGGCATATCAGCTATAGGATGATATAAGTCGTTGATTAATATGCAACTTTTCTTTAAATAAAGGATTTTTATTATTTTATTTTATTATATTTATTTCTCTTTATTTATTATTACCATATTTCTCCGAAAATAAGCAACTCTGGCCTGCATTATAAAAAATTTGGCCTGAATTATAAGTATCTTGGCCAACATTAAGTGTAAAAAAGGGTGCTTATTTTCGGAGGAATACGGTATTATTTTTTTGCTGTATATTAAAATTTTTATTTTCTAGCAAGTTGCACTTATATTAACTTTGATAAAATTTTTATGCTGTAAAAAAAAAAAAAATCATTTTAATAAATTATCACGATTTTATTGAAATGTTCGCAGAATTTATATCGATATATAATTAAATATATTAAAGATTTAAAAAAAAATCTAAAAAAGATGACTATATATATATAATATTTGTGTTAAGCGTTAGCTACGTTATGATCATTGGAATAGAATTAACAAATTAATTTAAGCAACAGCCTGACCCTAATATTAATTCTGACCTAAATAATATTCGGGCAAGTTTACTAACAAATACTAAAGGTTGATCAGCTTTCATTAATAATCGTATTACAGTACAACCTCGATATAACGAAGCTCCGGAACTGGTGTTTTTGCTTCGTTATATTAAAACTTTATTGGTAGTTTCGTTATATCGGGGCTAATTTAAACATAAAAATTAGAAATGACCTTCATTTACAATTAGTGTTCGTTATATCAAGGTTATACTATACTAATTAACTCATACACAGTTGGAAATTCTAAAGCAATATGAAGATTTTTGTTTTTTTTTATGTTCACAATAAAAAGATCACATAAAAATTTTATTAATTAGATAAAAATTATTTATTTCACAAAGGTGAACACAAAATAATAAAAGTATAATTTTTTAAAAAAACTTATGTTACTATGAACACCGGATTTCCAACACTGCTCAAACTTTCATTCGATCAATCGATCGACATGTAACTGTAATCAAACCTGTGTTACGCTCAATTTTCACGATAGTTGGGTGATTGAGACCCCAAATGAGGGATTGAAATCCCAGTACGAATTAAAGTTATATAAGGGCGTGGTTTAGTTTTCGAAGGGAATAGCGAATATTTGAATTATTGTGATAATCCGATGTATTGATTTATGTTTATAAAGAGAACCTTATGACCTGTAATTATGTGTGTTAGTTTATCAATTTATACCATTTGACCTTAATCAAAATTTGATCACGATCAAAGCTAAGTTGGTTCAAGACCCTATGAAGCTCTCCCCCCGATCATAACACCTGTCACATTTTCGATCGGGCGACGCACGATTCAAAGACAAAAGGTTGCCTTGCTATTTATATATCGAGCAGTAATTAACAAGAGAAATTGACGTACTAATCCAGCAACCCTATTAACTTAGAAAATACTCGTAAAAATTGGTATAGATTAAGTTTAAATTTGTGTTCAGAAGTAATGATGCGTAGAAACTCTCATTGGGGGATGCAGTATCGTAACTAAATTATAATTTGGACCGTTTTTTTTTTTTTAAAGTTGCAGTATAGTATATCTTAATATAAATATGTGCCATATTATTCATACAGTTTTATGACGTAGCTATTTTATGAGTTGTAACTTTATATTCCATAAGCTACACTTTACTGTAAATTTATTTATACCACAATTTTTTCGCACATAACTAAATATGTAAAATACAGTATCTAGATAAACCACTAAATTAGCGATAGGATATCATGCGTCATTCTCAATCTAAATTGATGGATCCGCCATACTTTATCGATAATCGTTTTATTTACAGCTCATTTAGCAAGATAATGCAACTAATAAATGCTAACCCTGGCCTTATGTGATATCGGCTAAATGAACTTTCGGCAAAATAACTGTCGGTGAAGTGAGCAGCATAGTTAATGGAACATATGTCACTCATAAATTAAGAAATGGCATATATGGTTATTAAATTGGTATGATTTACAGACAAATAAGAAAAATTTGCCCAAAAAAAATAAATAAAATAAAATAAAAAAAATAATCGAAAAAAAATTCAATAAATAAAATTAATTAATTAATTAATTAATTTATAAATTAAATTTAAAGTTCGCTACAAACAAATATATTCTATTCATATATCTTAGCAACGTTGTCAGACCCGAAAACGGCGAGTCTGTCGCTAAGTCAATATTAGGAGTCGTGTAACCAAAGTTTAGGCTATGTAGGGTCGAAGGAGGCGTGTTTTATTTGGACGAGTGGTTAATAAAAGAATGTATGTAGTTGGTAGGGCATGTTTATATGACTTGGATGCTTTATTATTTAGGTTAACTAACTAACTGACATTTTCGAAGGGCCAGAAAGCCTTATTTATAATTAACTCACTATCTATTTTTACATACAGAATACGGCTTTTACCCAGAATTACCCTTATTACCATAATTATTAGTATTCGCCTTATTCCTTCTTTTCGCCTAATTATCGTAATTCTTAAAATTCCCCGATTTTTCCTAATTTCCGCCGGTAAACCCCAATTGGAATTCCCGAATCATGAGGCCACGTGCCTGCGGTCAGATCACGTTTCCGGTCTCACAACGTATTAGAAATTTTTTGTATTCACCACGTAAAACATATTTATATCTCGAACGTGGCAATTTATTTTTTTTGCAAAAACATGACTTAGTGCTGCATTTCGGTTGCTTGATATTTTGCACAAATTACTTTATAAAAAATTTTAAATATAGCGAATTCGCGTTTCTAAATTAATTCTATCTGTTTAGACATGTGCCATTCTTCATCGTACTGATAAAATAATTTTGAAATATTAACAACCATTATTTGAACAATGGATTATGCTAAGTTCTTGAATTTTTTTAGTATACTTAGGCCGTTTGAAGTTAAATTTTCGTTTAACGTTATTCCCCCTTCTGTCTCCTAAGCTCCCCCCAAAAATTAAACAAATAGAAGTGACAGATTGGTTAATATAATAGCCAACGTGGTCTCCGGAATTTTTCGGCTTGCATTCGGGATTGTTCGGTACACTATGTTTAATTTTTATTTGTTTGTTTAATTTTTCCCCCCTCCCCCGTGGAAATGCGAAAAAATAACGTTAAACGAACTTTCAATTTCAAACGGCCTTATATCAACTTCTATCCATCAAACTTCACTTATTTTCCCCTTTGATAATGAAGGTTCATTCATATATGTGATGAAAAAAAATCACAGTACTCAGAGATAAAAGATTGATTCAAGTTAATGAATTAAAATAACAATAATAATAAATAAATAGCGATCCAAATATAATGAATGAAACAAAAAAGATCGATTCAAATATAATTATAAAAAAATAAAACTTATGCACCAAAAGAACTACTTAAATTTATTTCTTTATCATCATCATCAATAAATACAGTACGTACGTACGTAATTATTATTGTCATCAATGATCGATTACATTAAGTTTCATTATCTGCATTAAGAATCGCCTAGTTGTTTGTCAATTATTTATGTTGTGAGACCCGGGCGTGTGACTAGGGATGGTAAAAAAACGGGTTAAACTGTTTTTTAAACTTTTGCTAAAACTAAATATTGTCTAATTGGTTAATTTTAATTTTCAGCTAAGAAATTTTTTTTTTTAAAAAGATGGTGCTATAATTTCGAATTTATTAAATACATATAAAAAAATAAAATAAAATAAAATAAAAATAATATATTTGTTAGCTTTAATTATTAAACATTTAAATGCGCAATTTGCTTATCGGCTAGTACACCCTTTCATTCTATGTTAGTTTTAATCGGCAACAAAATCAACACAATAATTGTATTTTTAGAGAGGTGTTGTTCGATCATGTTTACACGTATCAGTTTGGCTATTTTTATAAAGTTTAAACTTCTTTTTTTTTTATTCCACCCCTACCGGCAGACCAGTTCAATTAAATGTTGATTACTTTAGAGTGGGTTGATATAACCAGAACGAATTACGTAATATAACACGCTTTATTACTTCATATTTAATTACTTCTATACTAGTCATTAGCGATTTTTTTGCTCTATATGGTTATGATTGTAATTAATCTCTTTGCATAAAAATGATAAGCAAAGAACAATATGTACGTAATAACAAATTTGATTATATACCAGGAACGGAGTGATATGAAGTGTTTCTGTACAAATCCGTGCTTTTGATTGGATATCTCTTTTTTATCCGTCATATGATCACCTCTTTTTGTAAACCTGTTTTATATAAAAGGGGATTTTTATATACATATGAGAGCCGCCAAGATAAACCTCATCGGACTTTATGTTTTGTGTTCAATTAGCCGTCTATGGAAAATCTTAGATTCTTCGTCGTAGACGGTTAACTGTATATAGAATATAATTAAAAGTCCG